TTAGTGTATTTACTTACTATAATTAAACTAAATTAGTATAGTAATATATATATATATATATATATATATATATACATATGAAAATTTCCTAATCCCCTTTCTTCACATTGGAAAGAATACTACTTACCAAAATGTGACATAAAATTTACATAACAATAGCTTTAATAATCTGTTCAGCAAACAGAAATTGACATGACTAGGAGATTTTTTCAAGAAAAACCATGGATAAGTATTAATCATTCAAATATCAACTGCTGTATATCTTTTAAAGTGAAAACTATTTTTATTATATTTTTTCTTCCATTTATTTTATGATTTTTCCTTATGTCTTAACTGCATAAAAAAGGGCCAGATTTGAACACTTATCAAATTATCTACAAAATACTAATTTAATTTATATGTTTTTACAGTAGATAGTCTATAGGTTTTAAGTAACAGATTAAGAGTTGAAAATTAATAGAATATCTACTACACAATATTAAAAAAGTATGAGCAATTTAGCTGTACTAAGTAGAAATTCTTTAAAACTAAAGATACATATTCAAGTGCAGGAAACTAACCTGTCTTCAGTTCCACTCCATTCACATACCACTCAAATTTCAGATTAGAATCACCAACAGGTACAACACGGCATTCAAAGTGAGCAGGTTGTCCCTCAACAAGCTCTTGAGGACCAGTGAGAGGCATGGTAAACACTGGCTTCTCAAAAACTCTTGCTGGTTCCTCTGGGCCAGTCCAAGTTTTGGCAGTTTCTAGCTCCTGGATCTTCTCAAGACCTTCTGGATGTTGTGTTTCTAATAATATTGAGGTTTTAGCTGAAAGAATGAAAAAAAAATCAACTTTTTAGTTTTCTCTTGAAAATTAATGTTTCACAAAATGTATATTTAGATTTACACTTAAGAAGGAAATAGATTTAACTAGACACATGTATCATTAGCTTACTTGTACTTTGTTTAACACCATTACATAAATATCTGAATGAACTGAGCCAACTCTCTATCAAGGTTGGACACTGAACACATCTATATATACTTTAAATACAAATATTTCAGGGTCCTTTTAAAAGCATAAATATGTAGATCAAAATGAAAAAAACCAAAGAGTTAAAACTATACATACATTTGACTTTGACTGAGGCAGTGGTAACAGCCTCACCCAGTTCATTTGATGCACGACACATGTAAACACCTGTATCATCAGACCGTACATACTGGATGTCAAGAGCTACATAGCCAAAGTCATGAGCTGTCTTAGCTCGGGAACCTGGGGAATTACAATCATTATTATAGAAACAACAAATATCTATTTGTACAAACTGATACTGATAGTTACCAATTTCTTTTTAAGCATCCATACATCTAAAAAAGCCAAGCTTAAACAGATTCTTTATCATTGCTAATATCTATTAGTTTACAGAATAAAAAAACACTAAATCTGAAAACAGAAATGCTTAGCAGCATCTAGTGTGAATAATTATAAGAAGCATATGTCCTTTAATTGCTGTGAAAATAACAGAATGATTTACATGTTAGAAAGTCCAGTGTTAGTTTCTTAATTAATGCATTACTTTTCAATAAAGTGGACATTTAACAATATATTACATCCTGTCTAAACTCAATCTTCTTTGTCTGCATTAAACTATATCAAATATTATCCATGCTTAGAGATGCTATGTGCATAAACAGAAAAGTATCAAATGTGCAATAATAGTCACAATAATACTACACAATAGAAGATAATGTAAGTTAACACAATGACCAAGCTTATGGTTCCTATTCACTATGTGCAAAACCCTAAAAAAATATGTCTAGCAGCAGGTTTTAAGAACCTCAGTATTCACAGATATTTGTGGTTAATTCACTCTCTTCACCTTCAAATGTAAATAAAACTTTTGTTCTTTGATATATCTATAATAGAATATTCACTTACTTGGTTGTAAAGGTTTCTCATTAAAGAACCATTCCACTTTTAGTGTGGGGTCACCTACAGGAATTAAGCGGCACTCCAAATGTGCTTCTTGTCCTTCCACAAGGCTATCCAGATTTTGCAGCGGAGCTGTAAACACTGGTCGTTGGAATGTTCGTGGCTCAACATACACATCATGCCGTTGACGAGATTCATCTTCCAGCTCCTGAATTTTCACTAAACCTTCTGGGTGTTGGGTTTCCATAATTATACTGGTCTTTCCTAAATAACCATAAAGTAAGATAAGATATTAGTTATTAAATTACTGACTTGTTTTTTTATATCGTTCTTTATAATGGTGGGGTTCACATATTACACCTTATTGAGTAACATGAGTAACCTTATGTTTTTACCTGTTAAAACACTCAGTATAAAGAACTGAGTAAAAATGTTGGGTGAAATAATCTATTTTCTACGTAAATTTAACAAAGTGCCCCCAGCAATAATCAGTACAATTAATGAGAATATTGGCAGTATGCTTGTTTACGTTTTTTGTGTGACACTCATACCTTATTAAGGACCCTGTAACCAACAAAGTGAAGGACCCACAAGCAATTTGGTGCATATACAGTTCAATAAAATGTGATTAAACAAAATATTAATGGCAATATGGACTCCATCAGTCATTCTAGAGTTACAACATATACAACTACCATAATATTTCACACACTGACAATTGCTCAAACATAAAAACAATTTATCATACATTCTATGACTAAATCTTATAATACAAAAATAATTAAAATTGTTGTAAGAGGACAAAAGAATTGTGTGATCAAAGTTTCATCAAATGACCTTAAATGGAACTTTTAAAATTTCCAGCTTGACCTGACGAAGAATGCTTGACTGAAACAGTGACCACATGATTCTTTTTTCCATTACACCATATTTCAAACAAATTTGTATTTTTCAGATTTCATCATTGCTGTACCTGTACTAGTTTGTTATCCATGTTACTATCAATAACTAAAGATGAAAAACATCAACTATATTTCACAGCTATAAATATATTTTAACAATAAACATATCATTTTTGAATAACTTAACATCCTTTATATAATAAAAATATTGACATGAAATCACACCATTAATTTATGTAAATAGGCAGCTTACAGGCTTTAATTTAATAAGTTGTAAGTTATAGTTTGGAGACAGCTTGAATTGGTAGTGAAAGAAAGTATTACAAATGTACAACATTTTGACAAGCTTTTGTGATTATCAGGTACAGGTAGTTTACACAGACACAGAAAGATATATATATATACAGTATACCAAACAAAGATGTCACATGACTGAAGACTGCTTAACAGCTTAGTAAAGGTATCTAGGTACCCCAGGACCTTGGTTTAGAATAGTGCTGTTTTGTTCAATTAAGATGACTTGCTTTACTTTGCATATGTTGATGTTTTGTCTTTGCTTAAAATGACAGTGCTTTGAAAAGACATATTGTTGTTTTTTCAGTTGCAGTGATGGTAAACATTGAATGTTTTTTATTATGTTCAGTGAATCTGCTTTCTAATTTTCTTCTGGTTTCTCTAGAATTTCTGGAGAGTTATTGCATGCTGTTTTATTAATGACATTAGTATTGTGTGATTCTACACAATTTTTATATAGTAATGATTTTAGTTTAGGACCAGGTTTCTGAGTCGATAGGGATTTTATGTTTAATCATAAGTTTTCTCCAAGTGTGAATTATTTTTGAGCTGATTTTATGTATGAATGAGAATCTGCAGTGTAGCATTAAGTTGTTTTTTGGTTTATTTGTGTCAATTTTGTTTGTGAGTTGAGTTTGAGGTTGTTTTTTTTTTCTGATGGTTGTGTGAGAATTTTCACCAATACTTAGTAGAAATTTGTTGGTGTGATTGAATGAATGCTTTATAAGGTTGATTCTTTCTTTTATGTAGGCAGTTGAGAAAAATCTTGAAGTTGTGTTTATATGGTTTTTCACTATATTGAATTTTTGTTTGGATTCATGGATAGAATTCCAGGGAATGTAGAGGCCTGTGTGAGTGTTTTTGTTTGAAGTTTGGTTTTAAACTCTGTGTTAGATCTAATAATGTCGAGGTTAAGAAATGATAACTGGTTATTATTTTTGTGTTTAATGGTGAACTTAATGTTAGGGTGAATGGAGTTTATGTGTTCAAAGAAAGTGTGTATGTGTTCATTAGAAGTGAAACCAACAAAAGTGTCATTGACATGTCTGTATCAGTATATGGAAGGATGAAACAAAGATTGCATGGCTTGCATTTCGATATAGGTCATAAATATGTTGGTGAGAGTAGATGAAACAGGACTGCCCATGCTTAAACCATCAGTTTGAAGAAAGCTGTAAGTTGTATTCTATGTTTTATCATATATTTATAGATACAAAGAAAATTTTGGAAGGTTATTGATGACATAGAAAAACAAAAACTTAAGATATTGTCAAATAATATAAAATGCTATATTAGTTTTCTTAACAATCACAAACTTATGGACATTCTTATATCTTACCAAAAATTTTTCATAACCTTATTTCTATGCATTTACATATTTCTGTCTGCTCTTTTCTCTTTAGGATTTTAACACAAAACATGAAAATCATTATATTCTATCTCTATAGTTTGTCTCCTGAGTAAAAGTGATATGGCAAACAAGAAAATTGACCAATTAATTAACATTTCATCATAATAAGTAAACTTTCAAACTTTTAAACTTTCACAGTTTGAATGCCATTCATTGAGATTCAAATACAAAAACATTACTTAACATCCCACCTTGAACTTTGATGTTAATGGAGCTGGTAGCTTCTCCAAGATTATTCTTAGCCTTTACAGTAAACATTCCTGAGTCCTCAGGCAGCACATGTTTAATATCCAGGGCAATGTATCCAAAATCAAAGGTTACACGAAAACGAGAGCCTAAAGACAAGTAAAAGAAGCAATTAACTTTCATAACAAAAGACAAATTTTCAAATGTTACATAGAGACTCAGAAATATCAAAAACAATTACAAAATAAATAAGCAGAAAGTTATTACAATAATGAACAAGGTGACATGTACTATTATTATGCATAAAAAAACAGACTTTAATTAACAATACTAAATAACAGAACAGATGCAAGAATTTCATATTACACACAGCAATAAAATGAATATATAATCTACTGATAATTTCATAGCACAACTTATCTGGCTGAAACAGCAGTGTGATAACATGATAATAAAAATGGATGTCTAAAGCACTTGCATAATTGAAATTGTGATTAGAATTTCTCTTACTTAATTAGCTGTATTGAAAAAATTAATTTTATAAAAAGTTAATTCATATTAGCCAGTTATGAAATCATTAAATAACATCTCATTTTACCATGTAATATATACAAAACAAAAGTGTATGATAACATAAGGTACTCACCAGCATCTAGAGGTTTGCCATTATGTAACACTTCCACTTGAAGGTTTGAATCATGAGCTGGCTCCACCCGACATTCTAGGTGAGCATTCTGCCCTTCCACAAGCTCTGTGATCCCTTTTAGTTCAAGTGTAAAGTATGGGCATGATATTGGCTGTTCCTCCACTTCTACTGGTTGGTACTTAGGCTGACATTCTAATTCCTTGATCTTTTCCAATCCTTCAGGATGTTGAGTGTCATAATACACACTTCTTCGACCTATAGCAGATGCAAAACAGTATATAAATATGGATTTTAATTTATATCACATACACGAAGTACTATTTCAAATAATGTGTACAAACTAATTTTAGTATGGAACTTTGTTTAACTGAATCATTTTTTTAATAAAACTAAAATCATAAATACCATATTTGCAGAACTACCCACCAAAAACAACACATATATGTGACGTCACCCTATGATCACGATTTGGTGCTTGTGTTACGTGATTTTCATCACATAATATATATATTTCTGAGTGGTCACAGGTACCACGTTTTCTTGGGGACATTTTGAAGACATAACTGAGACGATATATATATATATATAACACTCGCTAGGTGACAGCACAAGCTATATATAAATTAAAGAGCGACACTACATTTTTCACTCGTGATCTGATGCATGCCAGTTTTTCTAACTGAAAGGTATAAGAATTAAATTTTGTCTTTCAACATTCAAACTTTGTAAACCAGTTTTGCTATGAGAAATACTTTTTGTAATGCCATAGAATTACAGAAACATCTAAATAGGGCTCTTTGACCATTTATAGATTTAATAATTTCAAAACTCCTTATACATGAATTAATTGCACTCTGCAATGTTGTTAGTCAGCAAATTCCTATAATATAATTATAAGAAAATAATATCATATCGATTATTTGCCTTTATGAGGCCTAATGTCAAGGGATCAATATTTAGACCATTTTTATATTGACACAGTGTGATAATTCTCATAGGTTTGTTACTTTTAAAAGCACATGTATTTACCATATATAATATTTTTATTTTGTACATTTGTACTGACCTACTGTCACTAGTTTGGTATTTTGAGTAGCTGTTGATTACTGTGCTTTTCATTCAATTTCTGACAATTAATCTTTCAGTATTTTATTACTTCTCAATGTACTATTATAGATGAAATAAAAATTATTTACTCAATGATGTGTATGTATTTATTGAGAAATAGAAAGAAACCAACAGTATTTTTTAAAATTAAAACAAGTTTCAATTAAGTCTTTGAAAGGTTAATACATGATGTCACAATGAGAGGTAATTGTGATATTTCTGAAAGTCCTCACTTTTGATGTGTCTGTGACATTACAGTGAAACGTATATAGGAAGTAACCTGTGACATATTGGAGAGGTCACATTCTTTGGTGGGTAGCCAGAGAAATTAAATGTTGTACTATTGTTATTATTAATATCATTAAAATGTTATTATTTTTCAAAAATAAACTCTTGTCAACTAGAAAAATACACACAGATATTTACCTTGGATTTTGATGGAGCATGTCACCACAGCCTCACCTAACTCATTTACAGCTTTACACATGTAAGTTCCCGTATCTTCTGGATAAGCATAAAGAATATCCAGTGCAACATACCCAAAGTCATGGGTTGTCCTAAATCGATGGCCTTAAAGAAAAACAGGACAAAAAAAACAAGTAACTATCTATCTTGTTCATTTTATTACATGATAATACTGTGGCTAATACAAATATAGGAGACATTTTAAGGAACTTAAAACAAGAACAATGGCTTATATTCCTGGGAAATCTACTGAAAATAAAAGTCTTTAAATAAACTGATTATAGTAAACTAGATAAAATTTCTAATAACACACATTTAAAAATAATATTTTTTGTTAAAGCATATAAAATACACACACTCTATACAAATGTATCAAAAAAGATTACTTCTAAAGTTTAATTTTATACATTACATACATGTAACATAAATGCACTGCATAGAAAAGTCAATACTGCTAATACATAAACTAAAAAAGTACCAACCTGCTTTAACCTCCACTCCATTGATGTACCACATAACTTGTAGCTTGGGGTCATTGATGGGCTCGAGATGACATTCCATGTGAATAGGTTGACCTTCCTTAATATTCTCTTGGCTGGTGAGTGGAGTTAAGAACACGGGACGGCTAATTTGTGTGACTGGTTCCTCTGCCTTTTTTATGTAGGAAGTTTCAAGCTCTCGGATTTTCTCCCAACCTTCTTCATGCAGAGTATCTATAATGATTCCACTTTTACCTGAGAAACAAAGAAAAAAGAAGAAACTGTAGTATTGGTCATACAATAGATAACAAAAAAATAAAAACATATATAGATTAATAGATATACATGTGTTATTGAAAATAAGTTAGTTGAACACATAACTAAATATTTTCAAAACATTAAATCAATATCTGAATTAAAAAGTGTTAGTTGCTTTTTTTTTTTCATTATGCCCTTAATCCCAATAATTTGTGGTTAGGACGAGAATGTTTGTGATGGGGATTTGAATACGTGACCTTCAGAGTGTGGGTCGAATGCCCAAACCACCTGGGCATGCCAGGTTAATTTCTTTTGTAAGTCTAATTCATTGATGTGATTCAAAGGTTTATTTAACAGTTTACTGTGATGATTCTATTATCCCCTTCTAAAACATTCAAGAACTGTGAATATAATACTGGAACTAACAAAATAGTGTGCAACATATTGTTATCTTCAGCAAGAGAAGATGTAATATTACACACAGAAGACTCATTTTCTAGCTTCAAGGAGAAATGCAATATCATACATTGGATATAACAAAACATATATAAGTAGCTGGTGGTTACAAGTTATTTTTCTTTGTATACCTAAAAACTTGCAATGATTGTAAACAAGAAATGTTTATGTTCTGAGTAAGATGTTGTGTCATGAGTCTACAGTCTAGGTGGGTCCTTAGGCAGCTTCTACTTCTTATAAAAACCATTCTCCTTTTACTCACCCAAAACATAAGCAGGATAAATAATAAAATATTTTTATTTTAAATCTGAAAATTACTGCAACCCTTACTTTTGACTCTTAAAGAGCATGTGGTTACAGCTTCACCAACATTATTTCTGGCTTTACACATATAGGTACCACTGTCTTCTGGTAAGACGTACAAAATATCAAGAGCTACATATCCAAAGTCACAGGTTGTTTTGAAGCGATGACCTGAAAAATAGAAACTACGGTAAGCAATGTTCTTTCTTAAACTAATTATAAATGTCTTTTGTGTATTTTAAATAAGTTAATTCACTTTCATATAAAGTACAATTAGAACTGATTTGATTAATCATTAATTTAATCAAACATGGATACTGAAATCTTGATTTTCAAATCAAAATAAATAAATAAATCAATAATTATTTTATCCTAGAGAATGTAATGAAGATGAAAATGTAATACAAAATTAAATGTTTAAATACTGCATAAACAATAATCACTATTCACCTTGTTGAATTGGATGACCATTGAAGTACCATTCAACCTTCAGGTTAGGATCAGTAACTGGAGTCAGTGTAGCTTCAAGATGAGCTTTCTGGCCTTCACTTAGATTTTCTAAATTGTAAAGCGGCCTACCAAAAGCTGGACGTTCATCATATACGACTTCTTGAACTGTAGCTCTTTGGAAGCGACTAGCGTCTTCCAGATACTGAATCTTTTGCAAGCTATCAGGTTGTTGTGATTCTAAGATTAATCCACTCTTGCCTAGAAAAAACATTTTGTGAAATCATGTACATATTTATAGAAGATAATATCTTTAAAATTAAAGTACTAAAAAAAAAATACCCAAAAACTCAAAATATATGAAGCTAAATTCTTTAATTAAAATGAAGCACAAGACTAATTTACATTATCTTATCATCCTTAATAAAGTATAATATTGGAACTATAATCTTTTATATTAAAATCATTAAATTGTTCTAAACTATTGTTACGACAGCGGAGGTCACGTGACGCTAGTAACACATCATGCGCTTCTCGAACGTTCACGTCCCTTCCTGAAATCTCAAGAGCCTACTAGATATGCAGTAGTCTTGTATATATAAACCAGTAAGAACTGACAGCAACAATGTAATGTGTAATTGAACTGTTGACATAGAGACATATTATTGAGTCGAGCACGTGAGATGTTCGTTGTGAATTATAGCATTTGTTATAGCGCGACTATGGAAATTAAGTGTATTG